ACAGCAAGCAAATTCTTGGAGAGAATCATACCTCTGAAAGGGAATGCCATCCTTTGATGTAAAGAGTAAAGAGAAATTCCCTGGCCTTGCTCCTAGCACAGCAGGGGTCCATCCAGAGTTCACGTGGTTCAAAAAGAGAATAGACTCCCACAACTTGTCTTCATAACACACACACACACACACACACACACACACAGAGAGAGAGAGAGAGAGAGAGAGAGAGAGAGAGAGAGAGAGAGAGAGAGACATCACTTTTTACAGAAAAGATCTATGAGAGACTCCATCCCCATCCTGAAAAGTGGCCTAGGAACCATTCCAGTCAGGATGTGCGTAAACACATAAGGGCTATCAGGGGCTGCACAGCAGGAGAGTCCTGGCTCTGGAGAATGGAAAATCACCTTGAAGGACATCTTAGTCACTATGCTATTGCTATGAACAGGCACCATGAGTATGGCAATACTTGTAAGAGAAAGAATTGAATGGAGCGCACTACAGTTTCAGAGACTTAGCCCATTATTGTCAGGACAGGCAGCCTGGTGGCGTGAACTCACGGTGGTGGAGATTTCACTGAGGCCACATCCTGATCCAGAGGCAGAGAATAAGACTGGGTCAGGCATGGGCCTTTGAACCCTCAAAGCCCACCCTCAGTGACACACCTCCTCCAAAGAGGCCCTGCCTTCTAATCCTTCCATTGCTATCAAACGGTTGCATTCCTTGGTGATTAGCATTCAAGTACATGAGCCTATGAGGGTCATTCTTATTCAACCCATCACAAAGGGAGACTGTGAAAGTCTTAGAAGTCTAGGAATAGAAATTGCCTTTCTGGGGAGGGCTGGTGTTGGGCCTAAAAAGGGTGGGACAGGAGGCCTATTGGAACTTCCTGAGCCTGCCTAAAGTTTGTAGACCTGTCTTTGGCCTGTAACCTCCATTGGAGGGTGACTCAGCATGGCCTGATGGAAGACTGCCCCCTGCCTAGCTGATGGCTAGTGTGGTGGGATACTATTGGCCCTTACTCCTCACATCACCTTACCCCATCCTAAGATTCCTATCCCTTCCTCAACCCTATATAAGTCCCTGCTCCGTACAATAAAAGGAGTTCCTGCATAGACAGTCTGCCAGCCCAGCATGTTTCTCCTGGTAACTAGGAGGGGGCTGGTCTGAGTTGTAGATACCCACCATCCAGCTCAGCCACAGGAGGAGACCTGCTGGACTGGCCCTTCCCCAGCCCTCCCTGCCTGAGGATCCTGCAAACTAGTCCCTGACACAGAGGGAGGAGCAAGGAGCCATTGAGTAATCAGGCAAATACAGTTTCAACAACACATTTTGGTCTCTGTAGAGATGTACAAACAGGGGCCGTAACTAGAGTGACAAGATCAGTCTAGGGTTAGTCCACACAATCGGTCAGAAGAAAATGAATTCTGAGAACTGCTTTGTGCTTGAGGAGAGAATGACTGTAGAAATGAATCCTTGAACTCAGAAAGGCGACTCTTGACCACTGTGGGGGTGTCTCAGGATAAGCAAGGAGAGACCAAATTTGCAGAACTTACAAGCGCTATGGGCATGATGGCTGAGCCGGTAAAAGTATTTGTCTCCTAGCATGATGCCCTGGCTTCTTTCTTCTCTATCTGACACAAAACTAAGATCTTCTGAGAGGAGGGATCCTCTACTGAGGAAATGCCTCCATGGGATCAGATTAATGGGCTGTGGACCAGTCTGCAAGGCTTTTTCTTAAGTAGTGTTGGATGTGGGAAGGCTCAGTCCATTGTAGGTGGTACCACCCCTCGTTTTATGGTCCAGGGTGCTATAAGAAAGCAGGAGGAGTGAGCCATGAAGACTAAACCAGGAAGCTGGATTTTCAGTGGCCTCCGCATCAGCTGCTGCTTCCAGGTTCCTACCCTCCTTGAGATTCAGCCCAGCTATCCACGGGCTGGGGATGTATAAGCCAAATAGACCCATTCCTCATCAAGTTTCCTGGGTCGTGGAGTTCCATCACTGCTATAGAATCTCTGAGTAAGACATCAGACAACGGAGTTCCAGCCGCAGAACCCAGGGACTGGATTAGGCTTTACTTGAAGAGGAAACAAATCCACAAGAGGCTCAAGGGAGTAGAGCAGAGGAGATTCTGTACACACAGCATCTGTACTCTGGACAGGTGAATCCACAGTGGGAGGCCTTGAAGCTTGCCTGAGATTGGACCTGAGAGAGCATGATAGGGTCCAGTTCACAGGTTCTAGTGGCCTTTTGTCCTGTGGGAGGGCATTAAGATAGATCCAGTCTGCCATACTAGTGAGAGGTGGTGACTGAAGAGGCTTGTTTGTCCGGGAACTCCAGATGCCAGTGTCACCTTGATAAAACACCGAGACTGTTAGTGAGTCTCAGAATCTAGTAAGAGTCCCAGTCAAAGGGGGGGGCTGCAGACTGAGCATCCCAAAGGTGTAACATGGACAACATTGGGCAGAACTAGTGTCTGGAGTGTGAGCTTAGTAAGATCACTTAAGAGTTAGATTATCTGATAGCGACAAGAGAAGCACAGATGTTAGGGAGAGAGAGGGAGGTCAGTGCAGAAGAAGGTTGGAGGAGGGTAAAGGGGCATATCAGGTCGATACAGTGGAGCAGATAGGGGAATATGGAAAATGAGGTTTCCTTAGAGAAGGGGGAGAGAGGTAAATACAGGAGAAGACGGAGAGAGGGAAAATAAGCATATGATGGATGGGAAAGCCAGGAGGAACCATACTATTAATTTTTAAGTTAAAAAAACATTGTAACCACTTGTAGTGGGAGGTACACCCAGCTGCTCCTGTGGCACTGACCACGCCCCTTTTGGGTGTGATCACAGGTGAGTAGGTGAGCATGTGGTATTTGGTCTGGGGTCCTGGAGGGGCATACCCTCTCTTACTTCCTGGTCAGGTTGGAGAGAGCATCTGCGGGTATCTTTGGAGCAGAAACCATGGTGGTCATCTGTCCCTGGTGTAAGTGATTTCTCCCCAAATAAATATCAATTCACTTGTGTTGTGTCCCAGAATCTTATTTCCCATGCAGTAACAAATGTAATTCAGTGTGTGGCTGTACATACAGAGTTTTAATGATCCTTTTTCATGTGAGCTGCTGGCATTCCCTCCAAACAAACCCCAATACCAGGCAAGAGAATTGCTCTTTTGACTGGTTGCTCAGGGATCTCTAACAGGCTGTCAAGAGGCTCCCAGAACATACAGCTTACTGCTGTTGCCCATTTGTGCCTGGAGGCGAAAGGTAAGTCCCTATCACTGAAGAACCATACACTTTAGATCAGGGGTCCAGAGACCCCGGAACTGATCTAAAGTCACCTCCCTGGGGTACTAGCTTTCATGGTCCTAAACAGTGCCCTGCAAGCTTCCAAAGGAGGGAGGCAGCCAAAAGTCCCACCCAGCGATTGATGCCTAAGGACCTCATCAGTGGCCAGGAAGTCACAGTAACCCTAAAGGCACAGCAGTGGCACACATACCTTGGTGGTAGCCAGCCGCTCTCTCATTGAACTTGAGACCTGCTCAGCAAGAGGGATATCACACCTGGTACTGGAAACCTCACTGAATAATCAGCACTGAAAGTCACGGTGGTTGGAGGAGAATCTATAACCACTAACGTACTAAAGCAGCATAATCTCTAACAACAGTCTCTAAATGTTTGTCCTTAAACACCGGGTGAATGCATTCTTTACCCCATCAAGGAAAGTTCTCTTTGCAGAGAGGGGTTACCACTGCAGGAAACCACAGCCATCGATGTGCAGAGGTGTGCAGCCCAGCCAAGACACACACCTTCAAACCACTCCCACACCCAAGGGTCAGGGAAAATTGCAGAAGAGGGGACTGAATTCCAACCTGGGTCCTCTGGAAGAGCAGTCAGTGCTCTTAACCGCTGAGCCATCTCTCCAGGCCCCAGAAGCTGCCCTTAACTGGGATGATTTTGTGGTGGCAGAACTTTCCTAAAAGACTTAGGGTGCAGTGTCACAGGGTTGAGGAGAAAAGCTCAGCCTTGCTGACAAGACAGTAAGTGTCTTCTTTGAGTGGGGGCTGGGGTAAAGGGAGGGGGTGGGGAAGAATGGCTAGGGGGACTTTCTGGGACGCGGGGACAAGAACCAGGACAAGGATTAAAGGGAGGAGGGAGGACGGGGCTGCGGGGAAGGCATCTGGTGAAGGAAGAGTCTGGATTGCGATGGAGGAAGAGGGAAGGTGGTGGGAAGTGCAGAAGGGCCAGCTTGGGAGGGGGGGGGGTCTAAAAGGGAGTGTAAGAGAGGAGTGTGATTGATGTGTGTCAAAGACTCGGGACTCCAAGATGCTGCGCTATGGTTACACACGCTCTGGAGCCCACGATGCAGCAAGGAGCTGGGGACAGACCTTCTGCTAGGGAGCTCACGGGGCTCCCCGCTAGGACAAGCAAACTGCAGCTCAGTTGCACTAGAGCAAATTTTACTGGCCGGAGGGGGGGTGGGTGGGGTGGGGTGGGGTGGGGTGGGGTAGGGTGGAGGGGTAGGGGGTGAGGGGCAACACGGGAGTGTGCGTGCGCGCTAGCGCGAGCGCCTGCCCACGAGCTTTGGCCTGCGCAGCTCAGGAAAGGGGAGTGTCGAAGCCTTGACTCCTCTGTGGAGCGGCGGGGTGAAACCGAATTCGCCAGGTCTGGTGAATATCCCACATCTGACACCAGATAAAGCGTGGGGAATAAGATTCGCCTGACTGACACCGAGAAAATGAAAACCAAAGCAACTTTTAGGGCCTGTGGCCGGTTTCGGCAGTAAAGTTTTTAGAGGCAGGCGGGGGCAGAAGGGACCGTCTTTAGGAGCCTGGATTGGCCACTCAGATCATAGACTCCGCCTCCCAGAGGCAGAGACTGCAGCCATTTGTCAGAACCGACCCGGCTAAGGCGGAGCCCTCACTGATGATTTATAAAGTGGTAAATCGCACTTCGGACGTCTGATCAGTACTCTACGAGGGGGCGCTGACGCCTTTTTGCTCCTCTCCAGAGCTCCAGTCACTGAACCTGTTGCTCAGGGTATGGCAAAGAGTGCAGCCGCCGAGCACTGTCTTTCCACCAAGGCTCTGTGCTTCTTCATTCTATGGATTTGTTCGTGGTCAATGTCGCCCACCGGTGAGTTACGGCGATCTAACGGGAGGGGTGCGGGGAGTCCGTGTGCGCTGTGGGAGGGGGGTGAGGGAGGGATAGGGTCAGCAGGATATTGAATCGCCCTCTCGCCACACAGACGGGCCACTTTGACAGCCAAACAAAGGTGAATGACATTTACAAGACATACAGGACAAATAAGGAGGGCAAGATGCCAGAGCGGAATCCTGATGCTGCCCCCAGCCCCCAGCCCCCAGCCTCACTGAGGTCCACAGGAAGCATAAACCGAGTCAGGAGATCCAAAGGGAATGGGCTCAGTGAGAGACCCAGCCAAGACAGCTCCCTTGGCTGTGTGTTCTAAAGATTTTCCCCCAAGGGATTCTTCACAAGGCCTCCACCATTTTTGAACCTCTTTGCCCTACAACTTTCTCACCTTCCCACCTTATTTTTCCAGCAGATCACAATAGATGCTTTTGTTCTTGCTGTTGCTTAGTTTTAAGGCAGGATTTCACATCATAGCTCACACTATAGAATTTACAGCAACCCCTTCTCTCCCTCAGCCTGTCAAGGGCTGGGATTACAGACTTATACCTCCAAGATGAGCTTTGATTCCCATCTGACTGTTCAACCAGCAGCCTGCTCAGCTCCCTTCGCTGCCTTTCCGACTTTCCCATCCCTTAAGTATCTTTCCATCCCTTTTCCACCAGGTGACATGTTGTGGATCAGCACCTCAGCTAATCAGGGGCTGACTATAATGGGTTCTGGCAATGGTACTGGGTAGGGATCTGTGGAAGGTTCTGCCCTGGCCCCCCAGACCCATGTGGTCTACATCCTGGGGAGATGGCATCTGATAAAAGTGTTGTTTAAGCAGAAGTGAGTTGTCTTTAATCTTTCTTCTGAAAATGGCAGGCACTGAAAATCTTCGGCCTGGCAAGCCTCACTGTATCTGTCCTACATCAAATACTCAATTCCACATTAGTGGAAGGCGACAAGCTGATGAATGGGACAGCAGATATTCCTCCACCAACATTCTTCTGACCTAGATGAGAGTGTTTCCCATGTGCAAGTATTGGTACCCATCCTGCAGAGTGTCTTCAAATGTAATGCAATGCCGATGATGCCTGTTTTCCAATCAGCATTGGGTTCTAGGCCTCCTATGACTTCTGGGTCAGCCAGGAATGCCAGGAAGAGGTCCTGGGTTTAGGGCTTAGATTTCACATCCTGCCAGACATCACTTGCCCATTCCATGGTGATATCCACAGTGGCTGGACATTCCTACATCATTAACAGTCAAAACAGTCCCTCAATAGACACTCCATTCTTTGGAAAGTCCAGGATGTATGGAACGGATACAGCCAACGATCGATTTTCAAGCCTTTATTTTCATTCTTTCATCCATTATTTTCTCATTCCTTTCTTCATTAGTTCCTTTATTTCTACTTTTCTTCCATTCTCTACTTCCTCTGTTTTTTACAACATTATTCCAGAGGACTTTCTTGTCCCATGGGCAGAGATTGTCCCTTGTCCCACGGGCAGAGACTGTCCCTTGTCCCATTGGCAGAGACTGTCCCTTGTCCCACGGGCAGAGACTGTCCCTTGTCCCACGGGCAGAGACTGTCCCTGAGCCTCTGCTCCCATCCCTAACCTCACTGCATATTTCTTTCACAGATGCTGCCTCTCTTTGCTACAGCTTCACTGTTGGCAAGTCAGGGTCTGGACCATGGAGGGACAGAGTCCAAGGCCAACTGAATGAAGAGACCTTCCTTTCCTACAACAGCGTCAACAACTGTCATGTCTTTGGTGTTCTGGGGAACAGACTGAATGCCACAAAGATCTGTGGAAAGCAGAATGACACTCTGAAGGATGGACTTGACCTGATCAAACACCAAGTGATTCATATGATGCAGGAGAATAATTCCATCAGAGGTAACTTTCCAACGACTGGGAATGTAGTACAGTGGTAGGGTGCTTGCCTAGCATGAATGGCGCCATAGGTTCAATCCCCACTGCCACAAACTAAATGAAAGAACATATCAGATGGTCCCCTGTAGGAAAGTACAGGGTTTTGACAGGTTAAGGACATTCATTGTTTTCATTAATGAAAAAAAAATGGATAACTGGTAGTCCCTCTTACCTAAGATGTCCAGCAGCAAGGTGAAAATGTGGAGAGAGAAAAACAAGGTCAGAGACTGGGAAGACAGGAGGGAAGGTAGACAGGATTAATCAAGGCCAAAGGCTGATCTCTTTCCAATGGGCACAGAGGCCCTCATTGTGCAGGCCAAGATGTGTTGCTGGCATGAAGGAGATGGACATTTCAATGCATCCTGGGATATTGGCCTCAATGGACACCAAATGTTGCACTTTGACCCAAGCACTGGAAAACTGTCTGAAGTTGGTCCTGGATCCAACGGGATTAAAGAGATGTGGGAGGAAGACAGGGATGTCACTGACTTCTTCAAGATGACCTCACAGGGAGACTGTAGGTCCTGGCTTGAGGAGATAGAGTTGCACTTGGAGAAAAAGCTGGAGCCTACAGGTAACTGGGAGGATGAGAGGAAGCTCTCTGCAGATGAGGGGTGTGTGTGTGTGTGTGTGTGTGTGTGTGTGTGTGTGTAATAATCTATTGACCTTAAGTTCTTGGGTTAGTAGTAATTTTTTTCCCATCATTCATTTCCTTTCTCACCCTCCCCTACATCATTAATCGTGATTACATTGATCACTCACTGTGGTTCTCACTGACTGTCACAGTCTAAGCATCCCTTTACTTCCTGTCCTTTTCCTCACTCTAGAATCCCTGTTGCTTGTCATCCCACCTGACCTTCCTCCTTCCCCGCCCCCATCCTCACAGGGCATCCACCCTCATGCCTCCCCCTTCCCCCCCCCCGCCACAGTGAAGATGAGGGCCCACCATCACCCTGCTTCCCCTAACATAGCTGCATGGGGCTTCTGAGGGCAGGGACACCCCCTCTCCCTTCCTACCCAGGACCAACCCAAACAGTTGTTGCCTAGCAACAGGGGAGGGACTCTGTGTGGTGCTGAACTCCCTGAGCACACAGAAGCAAAGGAAGGGGAGATTCCCTCAGATGTGAGGTCTGGATAAAGACTCAGTTTATGTTTCCACTTCAGCCTCACCAACAGCTGCTCCAGATGTGAGCCAGCAGCCTGTGTCACTGGCCATCAAGCCCAACATCTCAGCCCTGCTGATAATCCTCACCTGCTCCCTCCTGTTTCTTATCTGAGGGGAACCCTTGACAATGACAGGTACTGAGTGAGGGCAGTGTTGGGAGTGGGGTGAGGGATAGGTGGGTCAGGAGAGAGGAAGCAGCGTGAATTCCTGAGCTGCTGCTCCTGTCTCTCATCAATAGCTTCTCATTGAGAAAGGAGGCAGGAGATCTGGAGTTCACGTCACCTGCTCACAAAGGCTTGTGCATGCTCAGCCTTGATAGGACAGGAATCACGTCACAGAGCAGTGGGAAATGAGGAGGGAATATACCTAAACACGGCGGTTCCATATCAGGGGGGTCCCACGACACAGATGAGGGGACAGCCGAAACACAAGAGAACGTGGTAGCGCTCCTCGTTGTGTATAGGGAAGAAGATTCCAACCCACAGTCACAGATAAAGGAGACAGTAGTAGAAGGCCCCTTGGGGAAAGCACACGTTGCTCATGTGTTAACACAGGATTCCATTCCCAGCCTTCACATGGCTTACAACAATTCAGGTCCATCTCCAGGGGATCCGGTCCCTTCTCCTGCACAGACCCCAGGCATTCACACAGCGCACTTACAGACCTGCAGGCTCACACTCATACACATTAAATAGAAGTGAATTGAGCAGCAGCAGCAGCAGCTTCCAGTCCCCTGGAGCAGGGTCCCTACTAACATCTGGTGGGGCTGAGCTGCTGCTGGAGTCCACTGCCCTCACCTGGATGCCCAGAGGGACAAGGCAGGGCAGGGACAGTCACACCCTCCTCTGTGTGCCACTCTCAGACCCTGAGAGTTTTAGAATCAAAGGGAAAGCATTCTGCAACCCACCCAAGGCCTGGGTAACCAGGTCCCAGGCCCCTTGATGGATGGAGGCCTCCCTGCTCCTCCGGCCCCTCCCATCAGGCCTGAGTCAGGAAGCAGAGCTACTCATTACCTCTTTATTCTGAATTTCCAAGTCTGCAGCCCAGCCTGGGGCTGACTCTGGGACCTGGGAAAGGAGGAGGAAGACAGTACAGGATCCAGGATGGAGAGCCCAGGGGTGATGGAGCAGGGAACTGGATGACCCTCAGTGAAGGAGGCTGTGGGGTGGAGATGTCTGGGCACAGGGCACCCAGGAGAACTGACCCAGGTTACCCTCAGACCCTTCAAGTTGTGTTTCCTTGCTGCAGGCTGAAGATGCTCTGGAGAGTGTCCTTCATCTGGTGCAGCCCCTCTCCATTCCCATCAGCCTCACCCAGGGGAACCCTAATGCTGCTGACAGGATTTCATGTTCTTTCACTCTGTGCTAGTACTCGGGTCCTTCCTTATCTCCTTGTTCTGTCTACTTGGTGCTCCCTCATGGGATTTGCCCTTCATGGAACTATTGCACTTTGAACTGGAGGTTTAGAAAAGAATGTGGTTATTAGCCAACCCTAGCATAGGAAACAGGATACCCAGATCTCCTTAGTGTGTCAATTTACTACTCTTGTGTAAATAACTTATTAGCATTGAGGTTAGTGAGAGACAGAATAGGAAGACACCACAATCCCCAAGATATTTGGCTGGGAGTTAAATTTTTTTAAGAATATTAATTTTATAATAGCTATTTATTATAACTACACCTGTACTAGGCAGTCTTTTTCTAGCACAAAAGAAAGAATGTATCAGTTATTTATTTATTTGGAACTATATATTATAGAAATGGATATCATAACTGAAAATGTGATAGCTTATAATGTCATCACTTTTACAGGTTACTTACTGTGACATGCACCAGGCATCCCAGCAATGCTCACACGCTCACTGGGATGCTCAGTCTGACATGCTGGCTGCCCTGCAGTGACACTCTGGCAGGGAGAGCTGGGAGGTCCTGGAAAGCTGGTGCTCCTGGATGCACATCCTCCTGATGCAGGGTCTGGGTCAGTGCTGAGCTCCACTGCACACAGAGAAGTCTCTCTGCACATGCAGACCTGTGATGGAAGGAGAATGACCTTGCACAAGTTTCCTCTGACACCACATGGACACTTGTGGGCAAGTGCACCAGCACACACTCACACTCACACACACACACACACACACACACACACACACACAGGGACAGCATAAACACTCTAAAATGTGGACAGTATAAAATATATGGTTCACTGTTTGAAACAATGTTTCAAAGCTCCACCTGCCTCTACCTCCCCAGCATCAGGCTTAAAGGTGTGTGCCACCTCCCCTGGCTGATGCTTGGATTTTCATCTCTAATGGAATGTTACTAAAGTAGTAGGACTTTAAAACTATTTTGACAAATAACTTGGTAAGCTAAAGTGTATTAAGGAGACTGGCAATAATCCAAATATCTCAGGTATCACTAAAGAAAATTTGTAACAACTAATTACCGAAAGCAGAAATAGAGGACTAGTTGTTCAGTAGAAGTCGCTGATAACTGGAACACAGCCCTAAACCTTAGCACAGCTAACTCCATCCATGAAGGAGGCGCCCACTGAGGCTGTCAAACTCAGCACCTGGACAGCACAGCCTGCCAACACTAAAACAAAGGCCTAGTGCATCAGAGTGCATGGTGAAGGGAAATTCTCTCAATGTGCTCACCTTGCTTTTCTGCTCCTGTCGCTCCCCTTCTAGTTAACTGACGTCTGATGCAATTGCTAACCGGCTAATAAAGAGTTCCTATTACCTACATCCGTGTCTGAGTGATCTTCTCTTGTAAGTATCCTACAACATTGCTGGAAGTCCCATGGGCATCCCAGAGCAAGTCCTCCAACCATCGGACATCTCAGAGTCCCCTGGAGCAGGGAAGAATGTGATGGCCAAGGTGGTCCTAGGGCTGTGGCTCCCAACCCCTTCAGGGGTTGAAGTGCCCTTTTGAAGGGGTCACACACCAGATACCCTTCATATCAGATGTTCACATTACAATTCATAACAGGAGCAGAATTACAGTTTTGAAGGAGTAGCAAAAATAATTTTATGGTTGGGGGCAGCACACTATGAGTAACTAACTGTATTATAGAGTCATAGCATTAAGGAAGGTTGACAAACACTGTCCTAGGGGCTGTGCAACCTGAGTTCCAGGTCCCCAGGGCTCCCTTAGATCAGTTGCTGCCTAGTGCTTCAGAGGTCTCCACACCAAAAGGAAACAACTTAGAAAGTGGCCTGGTCTATCGAGTCTGGGGCGAGTGTGGTTAAGGTGCCCTCTCATTGGACACACGGGAGAGGTCTCACAAGGACACTGGCCCAGTGTCAGGAAATATGGGAGATGGCACTGGATTCCATATGTGTTCAAGTACATGAATGTATTGGTTGTCTTCTCTCTCTCTCTCTCTCTCTCTCTCTCTCTCTCTCTCTCTCTCTTTCTCTTTGTGTGTGTGTGTTTGTGTGTGTGTTTCTATTCTGTTCTATTACAGAGGCTTTCTCTCGTGTGAGAATATCCTTGCTTAAGACTTGAGCTCCTCTAGGGGACCCAAATGTTTTTGGTTCTGCCAAGTTACCCAGAGAGAAACAAACAAACAAACAAACAAACACAACAGAAACAAGAACCCCCCACCTGTCCCACCCCCTGATGGGGGCACAAGCTTCACTGACTGCTTGACTCCTGCTCATGGTCAGGGTTGGTCCCTGGGTGAAGGTGAGGAGAGGCCGGGCTTCTCATGCAGCCCCTCTGCCAGGAAAGTGGAATGCACCCAGGGGGATGGAAATCCTCCCCAGGTGAGTTCTCCCTGCTCTCCATGCCTGTCCTTAGCAGCCCCAGTGAAGGGGGACCGTTCCCCTGAGCTGACCCAGAAAGAAAAAGAAAGTTCCACTCCGTTCTTTTCATGATTAATATCGTATTGTCAACAACAGCCCACTATCCTCTGAAGAAGAAGAAGGAAAAAAGGAGTAAACTACCCCAGGTGGAACAGGGGGTCCCTGACAGATACTGCAGGCTGGAAAACATGGGTCTTCCCTCCTGTCCAACACTGACCAAGGAGACTTTAAACTATTTTCCATTTATAATTTTAGAAGATTAAAGACAACAGGTGAAATGATTTTCTTTGTCACCCAGTGATCCCTAGATATTAGAAAAATTATAAAAGTCACCAAAAAAATTTTTTGTAATGTATGTAGGTCTCAGTTGCTAGAGCTAGCTCACAGATATGTAACGACAGAGAACGGAGTGTGTCAGACCATATATATGAACTGAAGCCACCACCGCCCTCTCTGTTGATGAGACTCAGTTAGATTTGCAGGCACACAGAAACATTTTGGTGTCTTACTGTCTGTCAGAAGAATAACTCATAGGTGAACACTCAGCTTCCAATCAAAAGATAATGTTGAATTACGTCCCAGATTGACAACAAAGATTCCACAAATGGAACATCTATATCATATTCCCTGCCCTCAAGGCTCAGGAGCGATCACAGAGAAGAAATGCCCAATCCAGTGTTTATACTAGTATGTTTTTCTTTCTTTAAGGATTTATCATTATTTTATATGTATTCACCTGCAATGTTTTCTTTTATTGTGTGTTTATGGGTGTTTTGGCTGCCCATGGGTATGTACATCATGTACATGTATTGCTAGCAAAAGACTAAAGAGACATCTGATCCCCTAGAACTGAAGTTACAGACAGTTTGAGCCACCAGGTTTTGTACTGAGAATAGAACCCAGGTTCTCTGGAAAAGCAGCTAGTGATCTTAACCACTGAGCCTTATCTCCAGTCCCCTAGACAGTCCCTAAAAAAGGTGGGGGTTTTTTGTTTTGTTTTGTAAACTTAGGAGATGGTGAGGATAGATCTGGAAGGAATAAAAGTAAAATGTTGGCCATAAATATGATCAAAAACATGTACACAGGCATAACATTTACCCAGTCATTATTGATGTCCCCATGTCTGTAAAGAACTTAAACACTATAGGAGGTGAGGAACTGGAAAGCCATTGGCACCTGGTGAGGCTCGTGCCATCTTAGGCTCAGGAAGTGAGCCCTAGAGACAGCATGAGATCCTGCCCCAGTGTGTGCCCTGGGCATTGCGACTGCTCTAGTAAAGTTCTCGAGTGTTGAATCTGTTCGTGTCA